TTTTTATAATGGGATGTACCAGCTCCAAGCTAGATGATCTTCCCGCGGTGGAGCTCTGCCGCGAGAGATGTGGGTTTCTAGACGAAGCTATTCGTCAGCGCTACGCTCTGGCGGAAGCTCATGTTGCTTATATTCACTCCTTGAAGCTTATTGGCCAGTCCCTGCATAACTTCATCGAGCATGATTTCGGTCTCTTTGCTGGCTCCAGTGCGGAACCGTCGTCTCCGAAGCTGAATCTACCTCCGCTGAAGAAAGGGGATCCCTTAGAAGACGGTCCGAGCTCGCCCAAGAAACCTGATGTATCTCACCATTCGCATTCCAATTCTGGGTCTCACATTCAGTTCCACTCTGATTCGGAAGATGACGATTCCGGAAGTCACTCGTTGCACCGTTCCGATCACCCCTCGCCGTTACATAGCTATGAAGGCGGTCATATAGAGTATCCGTCAGCGGATTATCTGAATTACACACATATGGGTCAAGAACCCGTTCCATTACCAAGTGGGTTTATGCACATGAGTTTTATGAGGAATAAAGCGACACCGTCGGTGGTTTACAAGCAGACACCCATGAGTCCGGAGATGATGCGTATGGAGATCGGGGAATCATCATCCTCTTCATACTATCCTTACTCTTATACGAACAATAATCCTGGTCCTAATTCTTATTTAGGAAATTATAGTTATTTCAACAACCACCCTTCTTACGGATCTTCCTCGCCGCCTCCATCAACGGCGGTGGATTCGAAGCCGCCGCCGCCTCCACCATCACCACCGAGTACTTCTGCTTGGGATTTTTTGAATCCGTTTGAGAGCTATGATAAGTACTATCCTCCGTACATATCGAGCAGGGACTTCAGGGAGGTGAGAGAGGAAGAGGGGATTCCGGATTTGGAAGACGCTGATTACCAACAAGAGGTTGTGAAAGAGGTTGTGAAAGAGGTGCGCGGAGATCAGAAATTCGTGGAAAACGCGAGTCATTCGAAGTCTCCTGTAGATAATGAGATGACTTCGAATGGGAAGGTTTTGGGTACCGAGGCAGAGGCCTCACTGTACCAGACAAGGCCGAGTATTGGAATAGAGAATGGTGGGCTGGAGTATGAGGTGCACGTCGTGGAGAAAAAGGTTGTGAATGATGAGGGGTCTGAGGAGCGTGGTAATGGGGCTGGTGGCGGTCCACGCAATGTCTTTGAAGTAGCCAGGGAGATTGAGGTTCAGTTTGGGAGAGCTTCGGAGTCAGGGAATGAAATTGCCAAGATGCTTGAGGTGGGGAAATTACCTTATCAACGTAAACATAGTAAGTAATTCAAGTACTTGGCTTTTGTAACATTTTTCTTTTGATTCTTTGGTGAGAATCTTGTGTTACTTCAATGTACTTGCTTGATCTGGAATAGTTTGTGAAATATCATAGAGACTGCAAACTGATGACATGTGCATCTGTCTCTAGCCTAAAAACATGATTTCAATATGTTTTGTTTGATTGAATAGGCTTCATTTAGCTGTAGTTCTAACGATGAGTTATATGGGATTTTGTGGAACAGTTTCTTCGAAGATGTTGCATGTAGTTACCCCTTCATTGTCAGTAGTATCATCACAACCATCTATCTCTAAGGCAGCCGGGCCTTCATCCTCCCCTGGGGATGCCAGTCCATCTGTTTTGGACTTCCCTGAAGATATAACTAAAGGACCTAGAAATCTATCTTCTACCTTGCACAAGCTGTATCTTTGGGAGAAGAAGCTCTACAACGAAGTTAAGGTATTTCTCCTTTTAACTTGCTGTCACATTTTGCAATCTTTCCCCCTTTCCCTACTCCACCCTTCCATTTTTAGGAAAAGATGGTTGCTTGACTATTTCTTCTATAATTTAAATATACATTTCTTAAAATTTTAAACCATCTAAAGATTTATTCTTGACTATCTTTTGTTTAATCTGATTTATAAATCATAAAGGAGCTTTTCACCGAAAGGTATTGCTATTTCACATTGGCCTTTAAAAAGCATCTGTGTTTTATGTTGGGCCTTATATTTGATATTTTTTTAGAACCCTTAGGCCTCTTCTTATTCCAGAATTCTAGCCTTTCTTATACTCAAGGAAGTTTCCACTGTTATGCAGGCTGAGGAAAAGATGAGGGTAGTTCATGAGAGGAAGTGCCGTAAGCTTAAACATTTGGATGAAAAGGGTGCTGAGCCTCATAAAGTTGATTCAACTCGAACTCTAATCAGGAGTTTATCCACTAAAATAAGAATTGCAATTCAGGTCGTTGACAAGATATCTATGAAAATCAATAAGATTAGGGATGAGGAGTTGTGGCCACAACTAAATGAACTGATTCAAGGGTATATTTTCTGCTTGTTTTCCTTCAACTCTTGTACATTTTTTTTTCTCTTTAATCTCATTCTCAATCATGTGCTCACATTTCTTCTAATTACTAGCACACAACTTTTGGTTCCAAGTGACATTGATATAGTTCTATGGTTCTGTTGCCTGTCAGTCTTTCCATTATTTTTGGTGTTCTATATGATTTCTTCAATATTAATTGTTATTCTGTGATATCGTTGGCATTATATTCAAATGCTTGAGCTTCATTTTTATTACTATTAATTATGTATTGAGCATGCTATACAAGTACATGCATGAAAATATTTACTAAAACAGACCATCTCCATAAACTTTTTGTTGGAAACAGACTATCTCCTTGTTTCAAAAAGGAGAAAGGTTGTCCAACACAGTTGTTCTAGTTGTTTTGTTGTGAACTGTGCAATGCATTCTCCTATTGAACATGCTTCAGGCTTATCATATCATTTTAATTTTTCCAGCTGGAATCAAGCCATTTTTAAACAATTCCATTATCAATCCAGTCTTATGGTTAATAATTATGATAATATTGTTCTATGGTGGTTTTCTGGGATTTCTAATTTCAGGCTAAACACAATGTGGAAAAGTATGCTTGAATGTCATCGTTGTCAATGTGAAGCCATCAGGGTAGCCAAAATTTTAGGGTCCATTGGATCTGGCAAAAAGCTTAGTGACACTCATCTTGAAGCTACATTGCAGCTGAAACATGATCTTCTCAATTGGACTTCCAGATTCTCTAGTTGGGTAGGTTCCCAGAAGGGTTATGTCAGGGCCTTGAATAATTGGCTTCTTAAATGCCTCCTATATGAACCAGAAACCACTGAAGATGGAATTGTTCCCTTCTCACCTGGTAGAATAGGTGCACCCCCTGTATTTGTGATCTGTCATCAATGGTCACAAGCTTTGGAGAGAATATCTGAGAAGGAAGTGGTTGACTCTATGCAGGTTGCCACAGGTGTGCTCCAGTGCTGGGAACAAGATAAGATAGATATAGGTCTAAAGATGATGGCAAATAAGGATTTGGAGAGAAGGGTTAGGAACTTTGATAGGGAGGATGAGAGGAGACAAAAGGAGATCCAGGCATTGCACAAGAAAATTATGTCTGTGGATGGTAATAGCCTCTCAGTAACTGGACGTATGGTATGTCCAAGTGACACTAGAAATAGTAGTCTACAGGGGTGCCTCCAACATATTTTTGAGGCAATGGAGAGGTTCACTGCAGAATCCTTGAAAGCTTACGGGGAGCTCTTGCAACGTGCTGAAGAAGTGGTTGCTCCAGAGCATGAGAGAGTGTTGTAAGGCTGTAATAATATCAATTAGAATTTTGGCATCCCCTTTGCATTCGTGATCTGGTTTGCCACATGCTCTCAGAAGCCCTATTTAGTTTTGCAAATTACATGAAGCTAAGTGAACCTTAAGAGACTCTCTTAATGGACAAATTGACTGGTTTTTTGTCTGTTGTGGAAGACTTGGTTATGGGTTGGATGGTGGGATAAATAAAGCAGCAGAGCCGGCCTTATATTTCTGTTTCTATTATCAGTGTTGAGGATATCATCTCTCTCTAAAAGCTAGCAGTTTCAATTGGGATATAATTTGGAAGCAAAGGGGTGGCAAGGTACAAGGTGGCATTCCAAAATCCTGGAATCGAAGCTGATGCACTCCTGAACTCTAGAATAACAGCTGATGCTGGGACAAATTTTGGTATTACTCACTATGAACGTCCTCAAGGGATTAAGCTGAGAGGCATTTATGGTGCCTGAAAATTGAACTGTGAACAGAACAGTTGCCATGCCTTGATGACTAACTGGGCTTATCATCCGTGTACCAGCCTTGCTTTGCAACTTGAAAGAAGTCGGTCATTCCAACTTCCTCAAATGAAAGAACGTATTGCAGTCAACCCCTCGGAGTTTGTCAAATCCTCTCTGAGTTTTGTAGAAGGTTTTAGGGCTTTCAAAGTGACGCAAGTCCTGTAGACGCCCGAGATATATTGTACAATGAAAAATTTCCTCCTTTTCTTCGATATTATTAATGTTATCAATTTATATGTATAGAGATAGGGGAAGATTGAGCCCCAAGCAGAATGCGCTGTGAACAAGAGTTGGTGTTGTAATGGACCAAATGAAAATTTCTCTCATTCCCAGGGCAGGAATGATTTTGTTGTAATTGTTGGTTCAAAGCACCTTAATGCCATTATTTATGTTACCTTCACACGTAAGTTACATATTATGGATTCTTCTCCATTACTCTGTTTTGTATCTTGAGTCACAAAATGAGAATGTGATCTCATTAATGAAAATAAAAGCCGCAATTATTGCGTATAAGATCGGAGGAATTACCATTATCTGGTATTGTTTGATTTGATGGCACGGTACCCTTGACCAAGATGCGGTAACTTAAACTTTGAAAATAATGAACTAAGGATTGACTAAATGCAGCACCCGAAGACTCTAAATTCAATGTTTATAGCTGAAATCAGCTCTGTAGATGAAAAACTGTTGATGGACATGATTAATGCAGAAGAAAATTTCTCTTTAAAGAGATACCACCAAGAATTGTACAAGAACATTCTGGGTCTATAAAGTTAGGAAGGTGGTATGTTTTAATTTATTCTCCCTCTTTAACATGACAAAATCCTTCTTTTATGAAGAAATGAAAGATCTATGATTTGGATACAATAAAGAAGCAGAACCACCTTATTTATTTCCTATTGCCCCATTGACAACCAAAGCAGCACTCACAAATTTGATCTCCCCATCCCCACATTGGAAAACTGTATTTTTCCAGCTTTTGCGTTGGTCTCTGCGTTTTTCATTCTCAAGATTTGTTATTTTATTTATATGATATCATTGGCTTTCCCACGAGCCCTTGACTTTGGATTTTAAAACTGTCATCTCACCAACATACCCACCCATTGTTTAATCTCAAACATTGCTGCTATTGCTGTTTGGTTTCTAAGAATATCATGGGTCTGCTGGCCCCATAACCAAACGATACCTGTTAGTCCCTCATTTCTCAATTGGGCATTGGCCCCTTGCCTACCTGGATATAACTGTTTGTCTTGCTCACACACAGATGAGGAAAAAAACTAACATTATCATTGTTTTTACTTTTCTTTTTCTTTCTCAAGAAAAAATTACACATTTGTCTGGGTATCGATCTTCATTTTTGTGATGCAAAAAAAAATTAGGCCAGCTATGGATGGAGAATATATGCCTTTGCCATCTGATTTAATGCCTAATATATGTTAGGATTCTCATTAAAGGCAAAATAAAACAATATGATGACCCGGGTACCTGTAATGACGCAGGACATCCAAAGTACTCTTGTTTTTTTCTTGCTTTTTATGTCTAGACCAATAATTTTGTCTTATAAAAAGAGTCTAAAAGGCATCAAAGAACAAATAATAGATTGCCTGATCCCATTTTTGTCCAAACACATCAAGAAAAAAAGGGGAAAATAACATTAAAAAAAATGTATAGTTAAAAATTAGTATAGAAATCTCTTAAATTTATAATAATGTGAAGTGTAAGTTTATTTCTACTCTTAATATAGAAATAAATAAATCACAAAAATTATCTAAAAAATTAATTAATGATAAATTAAATTTTACGTTACAATTTCAACTTTTTACATTCTTTATTTTATTTTTATATAAGATACAAGATAATAATATATAATTACACCTACTATAGACATCTCAACTAAATCATTGATCCTGCCCTCTCTTCTCTTTCCATTTCCTCAATTTCGCTGATGCCAATTAGATTTTTAGAGAAAACTTATTAATTTAAGAGAAGAATTAGTCAAAAAAGAAAAGAAAAAAACTAATAGAATAACAATTTGTGAAGCGCAATTAATATTGAAGACACCTCATTCATAATTTTAACTGTTTTGCATTTGGACAAGAATTTCAACAACTTCGTGTTAGCCTTAATTTACTCCTACCCTTTTGGCACCAAAGCCCTTTTGACTCCATGACATTTCTTTGCAAAACAAGTTATAATTATTAGGTTTTCGAATCCAATCCCCATTATTGAAACAGAAAACCAGAAATTATAAAGAAAAAAAACGAAGGAAAACTACTGGTTAGCTTTAGCATTTGATCTTAAATAAATTACAAACATTTTCCATCCAAGATTTGCTTTCCAACTTCCATTTAGATTTGTAATGATTTATTCAATTGATTGCTTGTTGAAGAAACAGCTGAAATTATTGGGGCAGACTGTAGAAAGTGAAATTCTATATAAACCTGTCACTGTTTGAAAGTCTTGAATTATGAACTACTTTTATTGCCCCAGCAAACGTTGGCTGCGGCAAAGACAAGAACTTGAACAGACAGCTCAAACACAAAGACACGGACGCTAACAAGAACAAACCCCTTACTTAAACCCATTTCCCAGTCACTTGCTCCCTCTATTATCCATCACAAAATCCCCTCTTTTGATGATTCTGTGTTGAAAGTTGGAAACTCTGGATCATGGGTTGCTGTGAATCCTCTTTTCTACCGGAAACCCACTCAGAAAATGGCCAAACCAACCAGCAGCAACACCCCCACCACCACCAACCGCCGTCTGGAGGACCACCGGACCCGGCAACTAATGAAACGCCGCCTTTCTCTGAGTTCTCGTTTTCTGTCCTAAAAGGAGCCACAAATAACTTCAGCTCTGATAATATTGTTTCTGAGAGCGGTGAGAAAGCCCCAAACCTTGTGTACAAAGGCCGCCTTCAGAACAGGAAATGGATTGCTGTGAAGAAGTTCACCAAGATGGCATGGCCCGACCCCAAGCAGTTTGCGGTATTGTGTTTATTTTCCTGCATATCTTTTTTTTTTCTTTTTCTTTTTATTGAAAGTTTGTTTGATCCTTTATTCCCTTTCTTTTTGTTTTTGACTGTGTTTTTGGTATCAAATGCTTCAATGGGCATTTCTGCATTCTATGTGTTTCAGGAGGAAGCATGGGGCGTGGGGAAGTTGAGGCACAGGAGGCTGGCAAATTTGATAGGGTACTGCTGTGATGAGGATGAGAGGCTGCTTGTCGCTGAGTACATGCCCAATGATACCCTTGCTAAGCATTTGTTTCACTGTCAGTTGTGATTCTTTTAACCATTGCAGTATTTTGTTTTTGGTCCTCTTCAATGCGTGGATTTATTGCTCTTCTTTTGATTTGTTGAACAAAGAATGTGTCTTTTAGGTCTTGTTTGTTTATTGTTGGGTACATGCCTAATTGAGTTCTGTCTAAATATTTGTTGCACTGTATATTGTGATTTCTCCATTTCCCTCTTAAGATCATTTTGGGTTCAGTATTGTATAGTTTTTGATGAATTATACTCATGTATTAACAATTTTTTCTAAGATTTCCTTCTTAGGTTTTGCTAATAGAGATAATCTAACTCCTTGTGCAATACTTTTTGGGTAGTTTATTCATATGATCTTTGAACTAGACTGTTAAATTCAAGTTCAGCCGATAGGATTTGATGATTTCTTCAAATGAAAGTGGCATTGTCATATGTTATTTAAATAAATGACAAAGTATTGAAGTAATGGTATTAATAATATTTTTAGTTTGGTGTTAGGTGCCCTTAATATTGCATTTTGCTTGTTGTTTTGCATGCTTTGGCAGGCAGTGTTTATGTTAAGTTGGCTTGTGGTAGTGGTAATGTAATTTTACTTGTAAAGCAGTAGTTGGACAAGTAATTTGTTTTCTTTTCAACTATGACATTGCTCATTGTAACTTGTTTTCATGCTTTACTTCCAGACATTATGGTTTTGTACCCTGTACATAGTTGATTCTGTTTTTCTGATCTTGAATATCTGATGGGGGATCATTTTTTGTTGTTTACTTCTGCTAGCCATAAGCTTTTAAGTTGAGAAATTTTTGAAGATTACTGGTTATCTTAGACTAAATTTAGTTATTGCTCATCCACACAGGGGAAAATCAAACAATTGAGTGGGCAATGCGTTTAAGGGTGGCCTCCTACATTGCTGAAGCTTTGGATTATTGTAGTAGCGAGGGCCGTCCATTATACCATGATTTAAATGCTTACAGGGTTCTCTTTGATGAGGTACATCTTTTCTTATATTAAGTCATGTTATGCATCACGCTGAAGATCTTCAGTTCTCCAACATTAAGTCTCATCTAGGGTGATTGCTACTGTCTGCTAATGGATTTTGTAGGATGGGGATCCACGTCTCTCTTGTTTTGGCTTAATGAAAAACAGCAGGGATGGGAAAAGTTATAGCACGAATCTTGCTTACACACCTCCTGAGTACCTAAGAAATGGTAATTGCTTTCTTCTCCTGTTTCCTTCACCAACCATTACATATTGGCTTGCAGTGTTAATGCTTTTACATGTTTGTTTCTGGATGCATGATGAGCTGCTTTTTGGTCCTTATTTTCAGCTGAGTTACTTTATATTGAAATCTTGCAATACTGGTTACCTTCCTTTCAAATTACATCATCATTTTCTCAAACACCTTTGAACTTTTGGTTCTGTTCTTGTCATAATTTTTAAATTGTAGGAAGGGTTACCCCCGAAAGTGTCATTTACAGCTTTGGCACTGTCCTCCTTGATTTGCTCAGTGGAAAGCACATCCCTCCAAGTCATGTAAGTAGCTTGTGGTTGTAGCTGGAGGGACACTTTCATTTGATGTGCATTTGCTTTATTTTTCTGATGTGGAAGCCAGAAACAGTTAGATTTCGGCAATTACTCTTTTAATGCATGTCAGTAAGTTTGTAACTCGAAGTGTGGGCTCATTTTCATTGGCTGATCATCAATATTGAAAAACATGGCCCTTTTTCCAACAACAATTAGCAAGCATTGCATATCTCTAGTAACCATGGTTTACTCATCTATCCCATCTTGATGCAAAAAAGAGGCACGTTAAACTCTCCTCTGGTCCCAATCACGATCTTGATTTCATTGTTATGATACTTTGTTGTATCAAGTGAAACTGTGAGAATAGTGGATAAGCGTTTTATCTAACCAACCTTTCTTTGAATTTATTATCATTATCTTTTAATCAAATTCATAAGATGGATCTAACCCTTCTGGTTAAAAGTCATCTTGATTTTTGTAAGCTACAAGTATTACTTGAGAGACTTACATAGTTTACCTCAGCTCCATTTTTGTACACTTACAAAATTTTATCTGTTTCTAAAAACTATTGATGGATGCAGGCTCTTGATATGATACGAAGCAAAAACATTAATCTCCTAATGGATTCACATTTAGAGGGAAACTTTTCTATGGAAGAAGCAACAGTGGTTGTTGGTCTAGCCTCTCAATGTTTGCAGTATGAACCCAGAGAGCGGCCTAGTATGGAGGACATTGTCACAACACTTGCTCCACTGCAAACAAAACCTGATGTAAGCAATCTATTTCTTTGGTTTTTGATCCAATGAGAAGCACTTAAGTAACGGCTGAGGCTGTCCACGGGTTTCAAATTTTCTGCATTGATGCACCTTTTGCATGCTTCATCTTTGTCTATAGTACCCTTGATAAACATGTCCACTCACTATCTGAAAAAATATGTAGTCATGATTGCCTCACTTTAAGATTCTGATTATTGTATTTCTTATTTTGCAGGTGCCATCTTACGTCATGCTTGGAATCTCAAAGCAGGAGGAAGCCCCATCAACCCCACAACGCCCCCTTTCAGCAATGGGTGATGCCTGTTTACGCATGGACCTCACAGCAATACATCAGATATTAGTGATGAATCACTACAAGGATGATGAAGGGACAAATGAGGTAAACAACTTGTGTAAGTTGCAAGCCTGATTCTTGATTTTGTGCTTAGAAATTTCTATAAATTTGGATTTTTTCAGCTATCTTTTCAAGAGTGGACCCAGCAGATGAGAGATATGTTGGAATCTAGAAAGCGAGGAGATTATGCATTCCGTGACAAAGATTTTAAAACTGCCATTGACTGTTACTCCCAGGTACACTATTGAATTCTTAATGTGTTAGAGAATTATTCCGTGATATAGATTTTTGGATCAGGAATTGGGATTCAAGTCTTATATTTTTATTTAATCATATGCAGTTCATAAACGTAGGAACCATGGTCTCTCCTACCGTTTTTGCAAGGCGCAGTCTATGCTATCTCTTATGTGATCAAGCAGATGCTGCCCTTCGAGATGCAATGCAAGCACAATGTGTTTATCCTGATTGGCCCACCGCCTTCTACATGCAATCAGTTGCCCTTGCCAAACTGGACATGCACAAGGATGCTTCAGACATGTTGAACGAAGCTGCTGCATTAGAAGAGAAGAGGCAACGAGGCGGGAAGGGATCCTGACAACACAATATCCATAATTAGCAAACAATTCCACTTCCACATACCATTACCCATTCTTGTTGAGGCAGCCCCAAGTTTGTGTAAAAATCTGAGCTTGACATTGAATTTCAAAATAAAAAATTGTATGACATGGAACAAAACACCTGTTGTATCAATGCATGCTTATTTTTCTCCCCTTGTGACGGGAATCGTTCCCCTGATGTGTGCAAGTACATGCTAGTAAGGGTTCATGAAACCATTCTCGCCACGGAACATTTTGTCCAAATGCGATCTTGCTCTGCTGTATAAAAGGACTGAGGGATAAAATGCTTCTCAGACAGCACATTTCGTAAACTAACTCAATCTTCAATTTCATACGATGTTAGACGCACCATAACAGAAGTCTCAAGTGTTTATTTGTCGTTTCACTTGTTGAGCATCCTTCAATACCAGAAAACTCCTGAGAAGCAGTAAGTGCAATTTGATTCCCTTTTTCATCATATTTTGCCATATGTCATTAATTTATGGTGAGAAATGGGGAGCAAAGTGCTTAAGCATCATATGCTGGCCTTGCAGAATTAAAAAAGGCCAGTAATTGAAACGTGCAATTATGAAGACCCTGCTTCAAAGGATCAGTAGCTTCCAACCTTTCGTTCTGTTAGGAGTCATTATTGTCTCTGGAAATGCTAAATAATGCCGGTGAGTCAGGCAATTGTTCACAATTTTTCTTCTCTCTGATTTACGGAATTCAAGCTAGCACGAGTGGCGCTCCATTCTTGTCTCCCATTCAAGGCCTTAATGTAGAATGCATGCTTTGATCAATAATTACATTTTCTTGGAAAGTCATCATATTCATTTAAATACGCACAATCATATGCAGTGGATCAAGTAAGAAGATAAATAGATGATTGTCTGTTGCATTATGGAGACAAAGTTGCAGTGCCAATCGTGTGGTGTGTTTTTTATACAGCATTTCATCAAACAATGTGTTGCCTCCTTTACATTTGCACCATTCTATGCATAAAAAACTTGGAAACATATCGTTTTTTGAGGTTGTTATCAAGTGAAGATTGAAGAGAGTTAGGATCAGGGAGACATTGGGCAAACATTGGCGCAGAAAATGTTAATATCCAGATCAGGATCACGTTAGGACTACCAGAAAGTAACAGATAAAATTCCTCATGTCTCCCATGTTAATATATAGGGAGCTGAGCGTGCATTGCATTGCTTGACTGATTTCTGAACTGAAAAAGCCTCAGGCCTTTCATTCCAAAGAAAAAATGGTTTCCTCACCTTTAAACTGTAAATCCAATCTCCATTCTCGCTCAAACAGCCTACCTTCTAGGCTTCATCCCCTTTTTCCTCAGATAGATGAGCATCTCACTAGGCTTATAAGTTCTAGTGAAGCCAGCCCTTCTTCATCTTCATTGATAAGCAAAAACCTAAGCAACCTCAGAGATGTCTATGAGATGGTTGATGCTTTGCTTCAATTGCCTCATGCAGAACAAGCCTTGGCCCAAAAATGCCAAGATGATGAGGTGCTTAATGGGTCTCTCAGGCTCTTGGATGCGTGTGGCATGGCGAAGGATGCATTGTTGCAGGCCAAGACAAGCACACCAGAACTTCAATCAACCCTAGGAAGAAGGGGTGATGAAGTTGAGTTTGTACAAGACGTTAAGGAATACTTAGCCCCAAGAAAGAAAACAAAGAAGTCAATTAACAAGTTTTTGAGAGACTTGAAGAGTAAATGTGGTTTGACTCACTTGGAAAATGATACTGAAGCCATAGTTAGGATGTTGAGAGAGGTAGAAAGAATAACCCTCTCTGTGGTTGAATCTCTTCTTTCATTTATCTCTGGACCAAATTAATATGCAGTCAAATTCTATGACATCGAAGCTGTTCCACACCAAACGCGTCGCCTGTGACGAAGAAGCATTACAAAGTAATGAATTTGCAAAGGTGGATGCTGCATTGTGCACTTTCATCATTCAGACAAGAAAAGCTGATAACATCAGTGCCAAGAAAGCCCAAAATGAGTTGCAGAAATTGGAGTCAAGCATTGAAGATCTCGAAGATGAAGTAGAAAGGCTGACGAGGCAATTAATCAAAATGAGAGTCTATATTCTCAACATCCTCAGCCATTAAAATTTTGAAGCAATTTTCAGCAAATAGTTGTATATGGTTCGGAAAAATCCTGTATAGTTATCTCCAATTGCAAATAAAAACTCAAATTTGAGTTCAAATCAGCATTGTTCCTTGTTATATTTTCTGCTAGCTGAATTATTTACTACAGTGCAAGAATACATCTATGGTGTTCCCAGAACTTAAAAGATCACAATGCAATTGTAAATTCACTAGAAAAAGTTACTAATCAATATGTCATGTTTTAAAACTAATTTCTAATTGCATCAAAACTTGGATCTTAATTTCTCCACCACATCCCTCAAGATTGTTGAAGAATTTTCAAAATAGTTCTAGAATTTGGGTTCGAATCATAAAAACTTAGTTCGAAGCAATTGCACAGAATGTATTTGAGAAAGTATAACTTTGTATCAAATCATATAATTATGATTTGAATTGTTTACGTGAAATCAAAATTCAGAAAGTATGATTGTGGTTCGAACCACATTTATATAATTTGAACAATTTATCTTAGAAATAAAAGATAAAATTCTAATAAGTTTCTCAAAAAAGAATGGATAACTTTGGAAGTCAAGGAAACACGTGAGTTGGAATTCAAATAAAACCAAATAACTTTTGGAAGATTTTCCAATGGATAAAATTGTAAAGGAGCATCTATTCCCAACAGGTATCTTGCCCCTATAAATGTGGAGTTATCTCTTCTTCTTTCGAGTCTCTTGAACACAGAAATAAATCTATACTATTATCTAAATAAAACCGTCCTTTTTTGTATCGTGATTGCTACAAAATCTCTGTACAAAAACTATTGTTTTGTCGCTTTCCAAAGGATGGTTCAATGGTTGATTTTACTAGTGCAAAGGCTAGATCAACAACGCACTTCATTGTATCCCATCAGCATTTTGGGTTATCCCTTTTGCATACTAGATTTGGTGGGGGCGAAATTAGCCTAAAAGAAAATGGCATTTGCAGTACGCCTTGAAGCCAATGATCTATTTTCTAACCCCCTATTTCTCCAACAATGATTTTGTTTTTGACTGATCATTGAACAATAGATTATAGAAGGAAACTAATTGAACCTTTTTCTAAAGACAGCTCCATTTCTAAGGAACAAAAAGATTGCTACATCCTAATTTTTCTAAACTTCAACTTCATGTCCTAAATCTTCTTGATTTCTTGTGTCAATGAACGCTAAACTATAGTCTAAATACTGCTTCATTTCTAAGGAGCAAAATTTGCAACATCCTTATTTTCCTGAACTTCATGTCCAAATCAATGAACATTGAACTATAGTCTAAATATTGCTCCATTTATGAGGAACAAAATTTGCAACATCCTCATTTTGCTGAACTTCCTGTCCAAAATCCTTTTAATGTGTTAGTGCCAATGAACATTTAAACATTGATGATGACCACAAAGATGCTAGTTACCACATAAGGGTATGTGTTAATAAGATGCTTGTGGACTAAATGCTATGACTTTAGTTGAGAGCTAAAAGGTACACTTTCTCATACAATGTATGCTCAACTAAGATCACAAAACCAACAAGAAGTAGTAGGAAAAAGCAACATATTCTTTTGTTTTAGACATTGTTAGACATACCATAATGAAATTGTTCTAAAATGTCATGTCTCCCATGTTGGACATACTTTGAAACTAGAAAGTTCCTAAAAATCAATATAAACAGTAATCTTGTTGCCTTCATGTTTTATCAGTATAAAATACCAGACATACTTTGATGGAAATTTTTTTGTTTTACTTTTCTATACGTATTTGGAAATTGTAGGATGGGGAGCAAAATGATCAAGGGCCTTTTTTTGGCAATGCAGAATTCAGAAAGCCAGAAATTGAAACATGCAATTATGAAGATCCTATTTTGAAGGACCTAAAGCTGTCGACCCTTCTTTCTGCTAAAAGTCATTTGTCTCCAGAAATGCCAAGCAATTTTGGTAAGCCAGGAGATTATTCATCATTTTTTTCTTCTCTCTAATTTACAGAATTAAAGTTAGCACAAGTGGTAATGGAATCTTGTCTCCCATAGAAGGCCTAAATGTAGAACAGAATATGTTAGAAGTGTTGTTTGCATTGTAACTCTCCTCAATTAATGTAGTAGGTGTATTTAATAGTTGGTTGGGGGGTTGAGATGTGATGCTTAGACTGCAAAATGCATTTAGAAGAAAATGGTGCAGATTTGTCAACTCTGCAGAATACATGCATTAAATGTAATTCTCTATACGGTTGAGGAGATACTAAGCAATGCAATCCCTCCTTTTTACTTAAGCTGCACTTGTATGAAAAATCTATAGAAGATGAAGATGAAATGAAAGAGAGAAAGGCTGGAAAAACGAAAATCCAAACCTGTATTTTCTTCAAAATCCTTTTCTTAATCTAAGTTCTTGTTCTTTAATTTTCTTCATCCAAAAATCCATCAATTAGTATCAAAGCTTGTCTTCTTGAGGGACCTGTGAAAACAAAATAGTGAAAGGTGTGTGTGAGAGAGAGTAAACACGAGAGTAAGTGAGGGAGAGAAGCTGTGCTGGCAAAGAAACACAGCCATGGCTACAAACAAGACATCAACAAGATCTTTTTCCAATCCTCCTCTGTTCACAGGCCATAACTACAACATGTTGGCCATCAAAATGAAGGCATTCCTAAAAGGCAACAGTGTGTGGGACTCAGTAAAAAATGGCTTTAATCCTCCCAAGCTACCAAACAACCCAATTGTAGCATAGTTGAAGCAACATGCAGAATATGTACAAAACTCCTACAAAGCCCTTTCATACATCCATAGTGGAATAGTAGACTCAATCTTTCGAAGAATCATGAGGGCAGAAGCAGCAAAAAGTGCTTGGGATACTCTTAAAAAAGAATTTGAAGGTGACAATAGAGTAAAAGACAATAACCTACTTACACTAAAAAGGCAATTTGAAATGTTAACCCCGAAAAAGACAGAGACAATCCATCAGTACTCAACCAAGTTGATAGACATCATCAACCAAATCAGACTTCAAGGTAAAGATTTTCTAAATAAAAGAGTTGTTGACAAGATAATGGTCAGTGAACCAAACAAGTTTGAATCAAATATCTCAGCAATAAAAGAGTCTAATGACTTGAATCAGCTTACCATTAATGAGCTCATTAGCAAGCTAAAAGCTCATGAGAAAAGGTTGTCTATTAAGGGTGCTGAAGTTCTTAAAAAAGCCCTTCAAGCAAAGGAAAAAAGAAAGCAAGCAGTAGAGACACCAAACTCTGTATAATATGAAAAGGAAAAGATGTTAGATAGCTCAAGTCAACAAAGCTATCAACCTTTTCAAGCAAGAAGAGGGAGATTTCCTCCTTGTAGACATTGCCAAAAAACCAACCATGAAGAAAGGAGATGTTGGTTTAAAAGAAAATCTCAAATCCAATGCAGATTTTGCAAGAGATATGGCCATATGGAGAGAGATTGCAGAGTTAAACAAGCTTAGCGAACTCAACAAACACAGTAGCCTCAGTACATACCAAAGTAACAACAAAAAGCAAATTATGTTGATGAACGTGCACAACAAAATTACTTGTTTGTAGCTTCCTCAGGCATCTCTTCAACTTCTACCAGTTCTTGGTATATTGACAATGGTTGTACAAGTCACATGGCTCGAGATGAAAGTATTTTCTTGGACCTGGACAAATCAATAAAAACAAGTGTCAAGCTTGGAAACGACATTTTGATTTTCTTACAAGGAAAGGGGAACAACAACAATCCCAACAAGTTCAGGTACTAAGCTAATTTTAGAGGTGTTATTTGTGCCCAGCTTAAGTCAAAATTTGTTGTCTAATGCTCAAATGATGAAGAAAGGCTATTCTTTGTCATTTAAAAATGATTTTTGCTATATTCATGACTCATTTGGAATGGAGGTTGCTAGAGTTAAGATGGTCTAAAACAGTTTTCTTTTAGATATGCAATTTGTTCAGAAATGCTTGCATGCTTCTAAAGCCAATGATACACTTTTGTGGCATAAGAGATATGGCCATTTTAATGTCAAAGCATTGAAATACATGCAAACTAATGAATTGATCAGAGACCTTCCAAAAGTGCATGTAGCCAATGAGGTGTGTCAATGTTGTCAACTTGGACAAATGCATTGGTTATCATTTCCTATCAACAAGGCATTTAGAGCTAGTGAAAAGCTAGAGCTTGTCCATATAGATATTTGTGGTCCCATGAAAATTCCTTCTTTGGGCCAAAACAAGTATTTCATTCTATTCATTGATGGTTTCACTAGAATGACTTGGGTTTACTTTTTAAGTAGCAAAGCTCAAGTGCTCTCAGTATTCAAGAAGTTCAAGGCCTTGGTTGAAAACCAAAGTGGATGCAAAATTAAAAAGCTTAAATCAGACAATGGGAAAGAATATACCTCTGCTGAGTTCAATAATTTTTGTGAAGAGGCCGGTATCCAACACCAACTTACAATCAACTATACTCTAGAGTAGAATGGAGTTTCTGAGAGAAAGAATAGGACAGTTATGGAAATGGCCAGGTGCATGATGTTAGAAAAGAAGCTACGTCAGTCCTTTTAGGCTGAAGCTGTGTATACAGTAGTATACTTGTTGAATGGTGTTTCCACTAAAGTTGTCAAAGATAAAATAGCTATTGAAGCTTGGTACGACAAGAAGCCTTATGCAAATCATTTAAAAATTTGGTTCAATATTTTACACTCATTCCTAACATTAAAAGAGGAAAATTGGACTAGAAAGAAAAGGTGGGAATTTTTGTGGGATATTCCATTCACTCAAAAAGCTATAGAGTTTATAACATTCAGACCAAGAAGGTCAATGTTTACAGAGATGTGACTTTTGATGAAGGAGCCTTTTGGAATTGGGAAGCAAAAAAAGTTGAAAGAACAGATGATGTGCGGAAAAATTTTGAAAGTTCAGCAAGCTCCAGCATGCCTTCAAGTATAGAAATTGCTGAAGTTGATGATGACTCTCCAATTTTGAAGACAAAGTCCTTGTCTGAAGTGTATGAGAGTTGTAATTTGGCTATTTCAGAACCATCAAGTTATGAACTTGTTGCAAAACAAGATGTTTGGTTGCAAGCTATGCAGGAGGAGATAGCTTTGATAGAGAAGAACAAAACCTAGTATCTCACAAGAAAGCCTCAAGACAAAAATGTTATTAGGGTAAAATGGGTTTACAAAACAAAATTGAATCCCAATGGGTCTGTTCATAAATACAAGGCCAGGTTGGTGGTCAAAGGTTATGCTCAAGAGCTCAAAGTTGATTATGGTGAGACTTTTGCACCAATAGCTAGGCATGATACCATTAAACTCCTTGTTGCATTAGTTGCAAATTTGGGTTGGAAACTCTATCATATGGATGTTAAATTAGCCTTCTTGAATGGAATCTTAGAGGAAGAAATTTATGTTGAACAACCTCAAGGTTTTAAAGTTGCAGGAAAAGAGGATTGTGTGTACAGGCTTAACAAAGCCTTGTATGGTCTGAAACAGGCACCAAGGGCCTAGTATGGTCTGAAACAGGCACCAAGGGCCTAGTATAGCAGAATTGATGATTATCTTCTACAACGAGATTTCAAGAAGAGCGAAAATGGGCTTACTTTATATGTCAAGGGCATTAATCCTGATTCTCAACTGATAGTGTCTTTATATGTTGATGATTTACTATTAACAGGTGGTAATGAGCAACTCTTGCACAATTTTAAGGCTGAAATGATGAAGGAATTTGAAATGTTAGATTTGGGTGAGATGAAATATTTCCTTGGAATGGAAATTTAGTAGTGCAAAAATGACATCTTTCTGTCACAAAGAAAGTATGCACTTGATGTGTTGAAGAAATTTGGAATGGAAGACTGCACGCTGTAATACCCCAAAAATTTCTAGAACAATTAAGTGTGAGCTAGGGACCTAATTGTGAGAAAATAATACTGTTGAGCATAATCATAAATTTTTTAAATTTGAGGGACTTAAAAGAGAAAAAAATTAGGATAAGGATGGGCTGATTTTTTTTTCCCTTTCTTTCTTTCTTCAACCACGCGTTTCTGCTCTTCTTCTTCTCCCCTACAACCGAACAAGAAGCCAAGCCCGACAACACCCACCCTTTGAGGAACGGTAAGAAAGCTCGATTTTTTTTCCTTCTTTTCTTGTTCAAGAACAAGATTTAGAGCTTAGAAATCTTCCCTTCTGCAGAAAATTTCAGATCTGCTTTGTTCCTTCCCCTGCTCTTGGCTGTGTGTGGGTGTGAATTTTTCAAGTTTCTAGTAAGGAAACAGCCACAAATTCCTCTTTTCTCCTTTGATTTGGCTTGGGTTTACTCTAATTTCTTTTCGTTTCTTCCAATTTCTGGTAGATCCCCTAAGTTCTCTTGCACTTCCCGCCAGCTTCCCCCAACCCGTAGCTCCGGTTTTGCTTGCTGAATTTTCTGGTATGTGACAACTCCATCTAAGTCCAAAATTACCCATTAGTTGTTGAATTTATCCATTAATTGCCACCCATGTGCTGTCCGAATTTTTGTTGAATCAGGGGGTGAATTCCGGTAGCAATTAGATCAAAATTAAGCTTAATTCATGTAGAATTTATGTGATTGGGTATTAATTAGCTGCTGTGAGGTTCTAGAGAAAAATCCTGTGAAATTAGCTATTGTTTTGCCAAAGCCGGTTCCTTCATGTTGTCTTGGAAATTGGAGAATTTTGTATATGTGTGTTACGTACCTATATATAAATGCACAATATGATTTTTTGTGCTCAATTTCATATAGAAGAAAAATAAGGTTAAATAAATAAATAAAGAAATAAGATTTCTTATGGGATTAATGGCCAGCAACAATAGGAAGGTTTAAATGTTTAGTTTATATTGAGAGTAAAATTAAGATGTCCGGTCATATGGTTATTAATTCTAGAATATTTTGATTAGGTTCTTGATTATTCTGTCATCCTAGCACTTGGAGTGAATTTTCTATGTTATGCAACTAAGGTAAATAAATTATGGTAACGCCATTCGATTTCAAAGTAAAAGTATATTTTAAATTATTTTGAGATGGTGGCAAGGTTTAAGTTGATTTTATTAGTACCGAGCATGATTGGTTTGAAATGGAATTATTTTCATTTTCATTGAGTAAAGCATGCCTACTTGGAGTTTACTTAACTGCCTTGATGATCTGAAAATTTTTGTAAATTATGATTTTCCTATTAAATCCATGCCCACATGGAATTTTTTCGGTGTATTCTTGAAATTTGAGGTTGATTGTGAATTACAGATTTTTTGTGTAAATCCTGCAAGGTTTTGTCTCTAATATAGTTATGACTGCTGATTACTGACGCCCGTTAGTGGGAGTTTGCCAACGCTAGCACATGTCGACATATTTACCGATAGGACCAGTTCACTCTATAATCCTGCTAATGGGATAATACATTGGTTATTACTGACGCTTGCCAATGGGTGTTTGTTAAACATTGGCCATGACTTATAGATGAGACTACTACTGAATCTTATTCTGCATTGACGGTTTATCATTGAACGTCTGTTATGTTAAATTGTTTATCAGGCATGCTTAAATTTTACTTACGGGCTATCCATATTTTTACTTATTGAGATATTTTATCTCATAGTTTTCCTTGTCCACCATTTCAAGAAGTGAAACCCGAGACACGGTTAACCAGGGAGAGTGACGAGCTAGAAAGCTAATCAGTATTTTGGACTTGGATCCTTTTGGACTTAGGTCGTTAGCCACACATGCTTGACATAGATGTGAAATGATAAATCATTTTTTTGTATATTGAGTTTCCCTTGGTTATAGCCTTGACTGTTTTATAAACTTTTGTACATCTAGACTAGTAAATTTTTGGTAATTGAAAGCTAGATATTAACCGAGTTGTTGATTTAAGTTATGTAAATTGGTAATTATGAACATAGTAGGTTCCAAGCCTTGTGCATTTGTGGGATCCATTCACGAGTGCACGACGTCTGTTTCACTCTTGGTTTTGGGGCGTGACAGATTTTGTGGTATCAGAGCCTAAGTTTAAATTAAATACCTAGAATTTGTTTAGAACTTGGCTAGCCAATGGATTATAGGAACGTGGTGAGGCATGAGAGTGGGTTTGATTAAGGGCACTTGTTTGATTCTTTCTTTAATGTGTGTTGGATTTTAATTATTTGGTTTTGGTCCCGGAAGTGCAAACTTGCCAGGAAACTCTAAATTGGGACACTTGATTAATAGTCTATGAACCTTCTAACTGGTTATAGATGGCTCCAAAACGGCATGGGTGCCCGAGGGGTGGCCACAAGTATCAAGGCACTCCTCCAATCCCAGCTGCTAACCCCTTTGCCCAAGCTGCTCCTTAGGAGAGAGGGACGAGTAACCCTCAAATGGCCACTTTTGTTCAGGAATATATGGCAGAGATGAGACGCCAAGCATCTTCTGCCACGAGTATGCCACCTCTATCCTTAGTGGTTTCCACTCTTACAGCCCCTCCTCTTATTTCTCCTGCTCCTATATCTTCTTCTCCTGTTGTGCATAGCTGGAAGGTCTATACAGAATTCCAGAAGGTGGTGACCAAGAAATTTGATGGTACCGTAGGTTTTAAGCAAGTGGGGTCATGAATTACCGAGGTGGAAAGGGGATTCCGCCTACTAAAGATTTCTGATGACCTTAAGGTTGATGTGGGCAGTTGTATGCTTACGGGTGAAACATTGACTTGGTGAGAAAGTTACTTGAAGCTACACCAAGGAGAGCTTGAATTGAGCACCTTGGATGGTTTTAAAAAGATGTTCATGCAAGAATACGTACCCGACAGCAAAAGACGTGAGCTGCAAAGGGAATTTGTAGATCTTAAACAAGGGTCACGTACTGTTGAGCAGTACAAGGAGTTTGACTGCTATCTGCTTTTTGTGGGTAGTCAAGTCGGGGATGAGCAAGCCAAAACTGATAGATTTTTATGGGGCTTGAATCTTGACATCTGTCTGGCGATGAATCAATTCAAACTCGCCACTTATAGAGAGGCGACGGACAGAGCCATAGATCAAGAGAAGGCTATGGCTAGAGTCAAGAGACCAGACTCGCAAAAAGTTGGGTCATTCCCTTGGGAAGAGAAAATTTGATGGGAGCCGTAGATCCTTTATCTCTGCACCACCTAAGTCTGATACTGGCAAGGGTTTTAAAGAACTAAAGGTTGCCAAGACTGTGGGTCAAGCATCAACAGCCCAACGTACTCATCTTGCTCCACCTATTTGCCCCACTTGTGGAAGAGTTGGGCACACTCGTGACCAGTGTCACATTACTACTGGGGCTTGCTTCAGATGTGGCAAGCAGGGACATCGGGTTGCTAATTGCTCATAGTCAGACCCTAGATCTCAGAGTACTCAATCTACATCTCAGTAGGGTTCTACTAATCAGGGGGCACAAAAATTGAATCCCGGGGTTAGGACAAGAGCCCAGCAGGCGAAAGTGCATGTGATGACTCACAAGGAAACTACGGCTACTAATGTAATCACGGGTACTTTACTTGTCAATTGTGATTATGCATATGTTTTATTTGATTCAGGTGCATCACACTCTTTTATAGCTCGATCTTATGCTTTGAAACGAGCCATACCTATTGATACCTCCAATTTTGAACTGCATGTGAACACCCCTTTAGGAGGGGTGATGACTACTAAAGATGTGTGTAGGACTATAGATATTTATATCGATGGTAGACAATTGAGTGCTAGCCTGTTTGTTTTAGATATCTCTGATTTTGACATCATTTTGGGGATGAATTGACTGTCAAAATATTTTGCCTCTACAGACTGTAACCGTAAATGAGTGATTTTTAATATTCCTGGGGAGTTAGAATTTAGTTTCCAAGGTAGTGGTTCCTTTGCTCCACCCATGCTGATATCGGCCTTGCAAGCTCAGAAATATCTTATAAATGGTTGCTAGGGTTTCTTAGTTTTTATCACTAATGCTAGTAGTGTGACGTTGAGACTAGAAGACATCCCTGTGGTGTGTGAGTTTTTGGATATATTTCTGGAGGATCTCCCAAGTTTACCTCCAAATAGGGAGATTGAATTTGCTATTGATCTTATTCCTGGCACTGGACCTATTTCCAAAGCCCCGTACCGTATGGCTCCTGCAGAGTTGAAGGAGTTAAAGGTCTAGCTGGAGGAACTCCTTGAGAAAGGGTTTATGTGACCTAGTGTGTCACCTTGGGAAGCTCCAGTGTTGTTTGTTAAAAAGAAGGATGGGAGCATGAGACTGTGCATAGATTACCGAGAACTGAATAAGGTGACTATGAAGAACCGATATCCACTTCCTAGAATTTATGACTTGTTTGATCAGCTTAAGGGTTCCCAAGTGTTTTCTAAGATTGATCTTCGATCTGGCTACCATCAATTGAAGATTAAACCTGATGATGTGCCAAAAACTGCCTTCCGTACCTGCTATGGTCACTATGAATTCCTGGTTATGCCTTTTGGCTTAACAAATGCCCCTGCAAGATTTATGGATTTGATGAATTGGGTATTTAGCAAGTACCTAGATAAGTTTGTGGTTGTCTTTATTGACGACATTTTGATCTACTCTTCTAGCCATGCTCTTCATAAAAAGCACTTAAGGACACTGCTCGAGACATTGAGAAGTGAGAGGCTGTTTGCTAAATTTAAGAAGTGTGAATTTTGGCTAGATAATGTTGCATTCCTAGGTCACGTTGTGACTAAAGATGGAATCTCCATTGACCCCCAAAAGATTAAGGCCGTGGTGGATTGGAAAAGGCCGAATAGTGTTGTAGAAGTCCGTAGTTTTCTAGCATTGGCTTGTTATTATTGTCGATTTGTGAGGGATTTCTCTAGAATTGCTTTGCCAATGACTCGTCTGATAAGGAAGGACACCAAATTTGAGTGGACTCTAGAGTGTGAGAAGAGTTTTCTAACCCTTAAAGAGAAACTGGTCACTACTCTTGTACTTGCACTTCCCATCAATGGGGAAGGATTCACTATATATAGTGATGCTTCTAAAAAGGGTTTAAGATGTGTCTTGATGCAGAAAGATAAGGTTATTGCATATGCTTCACGGCAGTTAAAGCCTTATGAAGAAAATTACCCTACCCATGATCTGGAGTTGGCAGTTGTGATATTTGCACCCAAGATCTGGAGGCATGATCTATACGGTGAGACCTGTGAAGTTTTCACTGATCACAAGAATCTCAAGTATTTTCTCACTCAAAAAGAGCTTAACATGAGGCAGAGGCAATGGCTTGAACTTTTGAAAGATTATGACTTGACCATTAGCTACCATCCAGGCAAAGCCAACAAAGTAGCAGATGCGTTGAGTAGGAAGTCGTCTGGCACTGCCTCAGCATCCTTGCCACCCAGAAGGGGATTCTTGATGACCTTGTGAAACTGGATGTGGAATCGAGAGTGGACAGTACTACAGTTTATCTAGCTACTCTCAGTGCACAACCGGCATTAATTGATATAATTAAAGTTGCCCAACAAAAAGATCCTTTCTTGCAAAGGTTGAAGGAAAAAGTAAAGACGGGGGAACCCCACATGCAAGAATTCAGAGTTTCTGATGATGAGACTTTGTGGTTTGGTGACAGGTTGTGTGTACCAAGAGATCATGCTTTAAGGCGTGAGATTATGGGAGATGCCCATAATACTAGTTACATAGTTCACCCAGGTAGCACCAAGATGTATCGTGACTTACGTAGTGCATTTTGGTGGCGGAATACGAAGAGGGAGATAGCTAGATTTGTATCACAATGCTTGACTTGCCAAAAAGTCAAGGCTGAACACCAACGACTTCTTGGGAAACTGTAGCCGTTACCTATTCCCCAATGGAAGTGGGAGAATATCACCATGGACTTTGTGACGGGTTTACCGCGAACCTCAAAGGGAAATGATTCCATCTGAGTCATCGTTGATCAATTGACCAAGTTAGTACATTTCTTACCTTACCGGATTGGCGCATCCATTGAGAAGCTTGCCAATATGTACATGAATAAGATAGTCAGGCTGCATGAAGTCCCTGTGTCTATTGTGTCAAATAGAGATACAAGATTCTTATCTCATTTTTTGACAAGCTAGCAGCAGGCACTTGGTACTCAATTAAATTTCAGCAAGGCCTTCGATCCTCAAACTGACGGACAATCTAAGAGAACTATTCAAATACTTGAGGACATGTTGAGGGCTTGCGTTCTAGATTGGAAGGGTTCATGGGATTAACACTTATCCATGGCTAAATTTGCCTATAATAATAGTTACCAGTCCAGCATTCGCATGGCACCGTTTGAGGCTTTGTATGGTCGAAGGTGTAGATCACCTATTTGCTAGGCAGAGGTAGGCGAAGAAGCATTCTGGGCCCAAAATTGGTGCAATAGTCTTCTGAGATTGTGCAATTGATCAAGGAACGCCTTCATGCTGCACAGAATAGGCAGAAAAGCTATGCGGATAGAAGGAGATGAGACCTTGAGTTTGAAGTCAGTGACCATGTATTTTTGAAGGTGTCACCCACTCGAGATGTCCTCAGGTTTGGCATCCGAGGAAAATTGAGTCTGAGGTATATTGGATTATATCCTATCTTGGAAAAGGTTGGCGAGGTAGCTTACCGATTGGAGTTGCCTGGAAATTTAGCAGGTGTTCATGATGTGTTCCATGTGTCTTTACTTCGGAAGTATATTCCCGACCCGAGCCATATCATTGATCTCGAACCCATTCAGCTTCGAGAAGATCTCACTTATGATGAGCACCCGATCCGTATTTTAAATTTCAAGGAGAGGGTAATGCAGAGAAGGACTATTCGTTTTGTTAAGGTCCTCTGAGATAACCATTTGATTGAAGAAGCTACTTGGGAGTTGGAATCCAAGATGAGGCAGGAATATCCGCACCTCTTGCAAGATTGAGGTATGAGTTTAGGGGACTAAACTCCTTTTAAGGAGGGGTGGATGTAATACCCCAAAAATTTTTAGAACAATTAAGTGTGAGCTAGGGACCTAATTGTGAGAAAATAATATTGTTGAGCTTAATCATAAAATTTTTAAATTTGAGGCACTTAAAAGAGAAAAAAATTAGGATAAGGATGGGCTGATTTTTTTTTTCCTTCTTTCTTTCTTCAGCCGCGCGTTTCTGCTCTTCTTCTTCTCCCCTGCAATCGAACAAGCCAAGCCCAACAACACCCACCCTCTTGAGGAACGGTAAGAAAGCTTGATTTTTTTTCCTTCTTTTCTTGTTCAAGAACAAGATTTAGAGCTTAGAAATCTTCCCCTCTGCAGAAAATTTCAGATCTGCTTTGTTCCTTCCCCCGTTCTTGGCTGTGTGTTGGTGTGAATTTTTCAAGTTTCTGGTAAGGAAACAACCACTAATTCCTCTTTTCTCCTTTGATTTGGCTTGGATTTACTCTAATTTCTTTTGGTTTCTTCCAATTTCTGGTAGATCCCTTAAGTTCTCTTGCACTTCCCGTTGGCTTCCCTCAACCCGCAGCTCCGATTTTGCTTGCTGAATTTGTTGGTATGTGACAGCTCCATCTAAGTCCAAAATTACCCATTAGTTGTTGAATTTATCCATTAATGCCGCCCTTGTGCTGTTTGGATTTTTGTTGAATTAGGGGGATGAATTCCGGTAGCAATTAGATCAAAATTAAGCTTAATTCATGTAGAATTTATGTGATTGGGTATTAATTAGCTGCTATGAGGTTCTAGAGAAAAATCTCGTGAAATTAGCTATTGTTTTGCCAAAGCCAGTTCCTCCATGTTGTTTGGGAAATTGGAGAATTTTGTTTATGTGTGTTATGTACATATATATAAATGCACAATCTGATTTTTTGTGCTCAATTTCAGATAGAAGAAAAATAAGGTTAAATAAATAAATAAAGAAGTAAGATTTCTTATGGGATTAATGGCCGGCAACAATATGAAGGTTTAAATGTTTAGTTTATATTGAGAATAAAATTGAGATATCCGGTCATATGGTTATAAATTCTGGAATATTTTGATTAGGTTATCGAGTATTTTGTCACCCTAGCACTTGGAGTGAATTTTCAGTGTTATGCAACTGAGGTAAGTAAATTATGGTAACGCTTTTCGATTTCAAAGTATAAGCATATTTTAAATTGTTTTGAGATGGTAACAAGGTTTAAATTGATTTTATTAGCATCAAGCATGATTGACTTGAAATGGAATTATTTTCATTTTCATTGAGTAGACCATGCCTACTTGGAGATTACTTAACTACCCTGATGATTTGAAAATTTTTGTAAATTATGATTTTCTTGTTAAATCCATGCCCACATGGAATTTTCCTGGTTTATTCTTGAAATTTGAGATTGATTGTGAATTACGAATTTTTCCTGTAAATCCTGCATGGTTTTGTCTCTAATATAGTCATGATTACTAATTACTTACGCCCGCTAGTGGGAGTTTGCAAACGCTAGCACATGTTGACATGTTTACCGATAGGACAAGTTCATTCTTTAATCCTACCAATGGGATAATACATTGGTTATTACTGACGTATGCTAGTGGGAATTTGTTAAACACTGGCCATGACTTATAGATGAGACTACTACTGAATCTTATTTTGCATTGATAGTTTATAATTGAACGTCTGTTATGTTAAAATGTTTATTAGGCATGCTTAAATTTTACTCATGGGCTATCCATATTTTTACTTACTGAGATATTTTATCTCATAGTTTTCCTTGTCCACCATTTCAAGAAGTGAGACCCGAGGCACAACTAACCAAAGGGAGCGACGAGCTAGAAGGCTAATTAGTATTTTGGACTTAGATCCTTTTGGACTTAGGCCATTAGCCACACATGCTTGATATAGATGTGAAATGATAAATCATTTTTTTGTACACTGAGTTTCCCTTGGTTATAGCCTTGACTGTTTTATAAACTTTTGTACATCTGGACTAGTAAATTTTTTGTAATTGAAAGTTAGATATTAATCGAGTTTTTGATTTAAGTTATGTAAATTGGTAATTATGAACACAGTAGGTTCTGAGCCTTGTGCATTTGCGGGACCCGTTCATGAGTGCACGACATCTATTTCGCTCCTGGTTTTGGGGCGTGACAGAAGCCAATGGCAACTCCCTTGGTTCTTAATGAAAAATATATGATTAATGATGGAAAAGAGAAGGCAAATTCTTCTCAATATAGGAGCTTAATTGGCAGTCTGCTATATTTAACAACTTCAAGACCAAATTTAATGTATTCAGTAAGTCTTCTTTCCATGTTCATGTCCTCACCTAGTCATACTCATTTTTCAACAGCCAAATGAGTTCTCAGGTACCTAAAAGGAACTTTTGATTATGGTATCTAGTATGAAATGGGTTGCAAAAGAAAGCTTGAAGGTTATGTTTACAGTGATTGGGCTGGTTGTGAAGATAATATGAAGAGCACAACTAGTTATGTCTTTTCTTTTGGTTTTGGAGCATTTTCTTGGATTTCAAAGAAGCAAGATGTGGTAGCACAATCCACGGCTGAAGCAAAATATGTTGCATCATCTGCAGCTACAAATCAGGCTATATGGTTGAGGAAAATGTTGGTCGATTTGGGTTTTAATCAAGATGAAGCTTGTGTTTTGAAGATTGATAATATGTCAGCAATTGCAATAGCTCAAAATCCAACTCAACATGGAAGAACAAAGCACATCAAGGTGAAATATCATGTCATTAGAAATTTCATCAAGGAAAAAGAAATTAGTTCATAGCACTGTGATTCAGAAAAGTAGAATGCTGATATCCTGACCAAATCCCTTCCTAATCCAAGATTTGAGAAGTTGAAAGAAAAGCTCAGAGTTCCAAAGCCAAACACCAAGGAGGAGTGTTAGAAGTGTTGTTTGCATTGTAACTCTCCTTAATTAATGTAGTAGGAGTATTTAATAGTTGGTTGGGGGGTTGAGATGTGATGCTTAGACTGTAAAATGCATTTGGAAGAAAATGGTGTAGATTTGTCAACTCTACAAAAAACATGCATTAAATGTAATTCTTTGTACAGTTGAGAGATACTAAGCAATGTAATCCTTTTTTTTATTTAAGCTGCACTTGTATGAAAAATCTATAGAAGATGAAGATGAAATGAAAAAGAGAGAGGCTAGAAAAATGAAAATCCAGACCTGTATTTTCTTCAAAATCCTTTTCATAATATGAGTTTTTGTTCTTTAATTTTCTTCATCCAAAATCCATCAGAATACACATTCAGATCCATTCTTAGACTTTCTTGGAAATTCATGATGTTCATTTAATTAAACATGATGGATCAATCAAGAATATTATTAGATGGTTGTTTATTGCACTACAGGAGATAGGGTTTACCCGCCAATCTTGTGCAGTTTTTTGTATGCAACACTACATTAAACAATGTGTTTGCCTCATTATGTCTACATCATTATTTGTTTCCAAAACTTGAAAAGAATTGATTTATTGATTTATGAGGTTGTTATGATGTGAAGTTTGAGTAGTTATGGTCAATGGAGACAATGCATGAACATTGGCATAGAAAATGTTGAGATCCAAATCAATATCACATTGGGACTGCCAGAAAGTAACAGATAAGATTTCGATTGTCTCTCCATCTAATATATACGTAGCTGAACTTGAGGGAGAAGGTGCATTGCATTGCTTGAGCAAATTGTGGACAGAAAAAGCCTTAGGCCTTTTATTCCAAAGACAAAACATGGTTTTTTCACCTTTGAACCGTAAATCCTATCTCCATTCTTGCTCAAACAGCCTGCCTTCTAGCCCTTATCTACTTATTCCTCAGATAGATGAGCATCTTGCTAGGCTAATAAGTTCTAGTGAAGCCACCACTTCTTCATCTTCACAAATAAGCAAAAACCTAAGTGGCCTCAGAGATGTGTATGAGTTGGTTAATTCTTTGCTTCAATTGCCTCATGTAGAACAAGCCTTGTCCCATCAATGCCAAGATGATGAGGTGCTTGGGGGGTCTCTCAGGCTCTTGGATGCATGTGGCATGGCTAAGGATGCCTTGTTGCAAGCCAAGGCAAACACACAAGAACTTCAATCAACCCTAAGAAGAAGATGGGGCAATGAGGTCAAGTTTATACACGAGGTTAAGGAATACTTAGCCTCAAGGAAGGATGCAAAGAAGTCCATAAACAAGTTTATGAGAAACTTCATAAACTTGTAGAGTAATTGTGGCTTGACTCACTTGGAAAGTGATACTGAAGCCACACTTAGGATGTTGAGAGAGGTAGAGAGAGTTACTCTCTTAGTCCTTGAATCTCTTCTATCATATATCTCTGGACCAAAAATGCAGCCAAAGTCTTTGATATCAAAGTTGCTTCACACCATGCTCATTGCCTGTGAGGAAGAAGCATCATCAATAATGAATTTGCAAAGGTGGATGCTGCATTATGTACTCTACTCAGTCAGAAGATGAGAAAGGCTGATAACATCAGCACCAAAAATGCACAGAATGAGTTGCAAAAATTAGAGTCAAGCATTCAAGATGTGGAAGATGGAGTTGAGTGGCCGATGAGGCAATTAATCCAAACAAGAGTTTATGTTCTCAACACTCTCAGCCATTAAAACTTTCCAGTGTAAATGAAAGTAAAATTTTGATATCAAATCCAAATTTTCTATAATATTTTTTTCTAATAACAAAGAATACACTATACTGCCAGAATGCATCAAAATGTTCCAAGAACTTAAAGAAAAAAATGGCAGTTGTAAATCCACCAAAAACGAAAAAGAAAGTTTGATGTTATTTTGCTCTTCGGAAAATTTGGGTACCATGTGGCATGACATACGTTTATGCAGTATCTAAATAAATGTCTTCAATTGAGAACCAAAATGCAGATTTTCTTAGCATTTTTGCTTCATGCTGAGAATTATTCTCATACTTTAGAGTTCAGGATGATGCTCTGTTTGGTTCCTTATAAAAATAAAAGTCTTTGAGAGTTTCAGGCTCCATTTGGTATCATTGTCGTTTTTGGGTTTGATTCTTTTGAATTTGGCAACATATACCATAAAAGATTCAAAAACAAAAACTAGAAACAACAACGATACTAAATGGAGTCTAAGCTGTTCTTTTCCTTCGTTTTTTATTTTACTTTTTGTGAATCAAAAGGAGCATGAGGGTTCATAACTTTTCTCCATCTGAATTACAAAACTCGAGGTAGCACGAGCGCTCCTCCTAGCCTGTGTTGCATTCCGCTGGTATTCCTAACCGACTATTGGTATTCTTCCCTTACTAAAATGGTAGCATGAGTGGCATTGCCACCTTTTTCTCCCATAAAGGCAATTCTCAGCCTGATATGAAGCAATGGTTTGCCACGACAGATAATAAAATAGATAGTATAATCCACAATAACTTATTCTTGGAAATCTTTTAATACATGCACAGTTATATAGAGCAGATCAAGAAGAAAACAATGAGGGGAAACATGTTATCAATGGCCACTCGTGCACAAATTTTTAGATGAAGCAACTCATTGGAATAATGTGTTGGCTTCACGATTATGACCTTTCATAACTTGAAAAAATATTAGTTTTGATATGGTGGTTGAGGCATGCGTGGAAAGCAAGGTTAGGAGTGTTGGTTTTTTAAAACAAAGAAATGGAGAGAACCGAGAGGAAGATGAAAAACAGAGCGTAAGCTGAAATGGAGAGAAGTATATGACTTCAACTCAACTTTTCTCATTAACAATCTCTCTTATTTATAGGAGAATATAATCTTTAAACAATTCAAAATTCAAACAACTTTCTACATTAAAAAACAATAAAAATACATTTAAAATTTGAAATGAGTAACAGCTAATTTTGCTGCAGCCTTGCGTACTTTGGCAGCTCTGCAGCCACTTTGCAGCCTTTCATTTCAGCGGCATTTGAATTTCCATTTCATTTCAGCCTCATTTCATCAACATTTGCAGCATAGCTTGCTTTACTTTGCTGCTACCGTGCTTTGGTGCAGCTCTCCCTTCTTCATTTGCTGCCATTTTGTGCAGCCTTTCATTTTCACTTGCTGCTACTTGGCAGCTTGAACACCACAACTCCAACAAGGAGGAGACATTGAGCAAACACTGCCAAGCAGAATGTTAAGATCCAGATCGAGGTCACGTAAGCACTCATGAAGAGTTGGAGATGAGATTCCTTATGTCTCCTTGTTAATATATGGTTCAGAGCCTGATAAAAAACAAATGAGATTCACATGGTTAAATCAATAATCAAATGATTAAAACTGATAGAAAGTGTGAACAGTATGTTTCCTGGACAGTCATGATGATGTGCACATGCAGATATTGAGTGGAAGAGATTCAACAACCATATCATACTACAGTTCAGTTAAAAATTTTACACGGACTGTTGGTTGGACATGCAAAATATCCTGGTTTCATGCTTTCATTTTCTTAAGCTGATTATTTTGGTTGATCCATCATGGTGGGTTTGCTTGCCAAGACCATTTGTGCATTGAATATTTCATGAATCACAATTCACAGGGGAAGTGATTAACATTACACAGGTGGAAATTTATAGAACCTGAAATGGGGTTGGCAGACATTGCATGAAGATTGCTGAAAGAGGCATTAAAATCCAAATAAAGAACACATAATAATAATTGAAGAGGATGAACCTCTGTGAGAAAATCCCTTTAGCTAAAATTTGATTATAATAAGCATAGGTGGCTTAAGCATCTTGCTTTCTGGAGGGGTAGAGGGTCAATGCGATTTGTGTGAGGCGCATTTTTTGGATCTTATCTTCAGGTCGATGCTTCCTTGATCCCACAGGTAAAATAATTAGGGGTTCAGCTGGGAAGCTCGTGGTCGGGAGACACGCCACAAACAAAGTAGAGATCGTAAATTAAATGAAATTGAAATTATTGATGCATATACTGATAGAGATTCCTTATGTCTCCTCATCATGATATATATATATATATATATATATATAGAACAGATGGTAGCAGGAAGAAGGCAGCCAATCTTCTATTCCATCTAGCTAATTTTCTGAGAAAGAAAAAATGGCTACCATTCCATCAAAAACCCAACTTTCTACTGATTCTCGTTCTAACAGCTTGCCCGCCAAACTACACCCTGTAATCTCACAGGTTGATGAGCATCTTAGCAGGTTGAGGACATCTGAATCTGCCTCTACATCCTCATCAATCAGAAAAAGACTAAGTAGCCTTCAAGATTTGCATGAATGCATAGGCAAGCTGCTTCAATTGCCTCTTACTCAGCAAGCTTTAGCCCAAGAGCAGAGTGAGAAATGGGTGGAGGAGATGTTAGATGGATCTTTGAGGATCTTGGATGCTTGCAGCACTGCCAAGGATTCCTTGTTGCATACAAAAGAATGCCTGCGCGAACTTCAATCTATTATGCGCAGGAAAAGGGGAGGTGAAACAGCATTCCTAATTGAGGTTAGGAAATACTTGGCCTCCAGGAAAGTGATGAAAAAGGCAAATCAGAAGGTGCTGAAGAATTTGAAGGGCATGGATAACAAATGCAACAATGATGATGAAACTCTTGCCATGGTTAGAATGTTCAAAGAGATAGAAGGGGCTGATATCACCTTGTTTGAGTCCTTGTTGTCCTTTATCTCAGGGGAAAAGGTACAATCAAAGGCAAGCAAATGGTCTTTGGTTTCCAAGCTGGTGCACCACAAAAAAGTAGTATGTGAGCAAGAAGAAGATGAAAATGAATTTGAAAAGGTAGATGCTGCACTGCAATTCCTCATTGAACATAAAGACAGCAATAGCCAGATTGAGGATGTGCAAAAGGAGCTGCAAAATCTTGACTCCTGCATTCAAGATCTTGAAGAAGGACTCGAGTGCCTCTTCAGATGGTTGATAAGGGCTAGAGTCTCCATTCTTAACATCCTCAATCACTACAAAAATATGTAAAATGCAGAGATCACATATTGCTATGTAACATATCTTTTGATGAAAGTCACACTCTTCAGTACAAAATTTTATTACTTATTTTTTCTCATTCCATAGAATTTATTTTCATCTTGGTAAAGAAACTCCTACTTTACCAAACAACTACGTGTTCTATGATGGGTTAGGTTTTCCTTTTTCTATTTTGAACTTTTTTTTCCATGTTACTACAATCTACTCAGATTTTAAATTGAAAAGGAAGAACAAGATACCGTTGTAATGATCCAGTAAAAATTTGAAGAATAATAAGAACTAAAACCTCATATTCTAAATGCCACATATAAAGTTTCTTGTCAGTGGTAAAGCTATAAGACTAGTTTATGACTAATATTATTGACTTAATAATTAAAGAAAAAGTCATTTTGATTGCAAGGGAAGCACAAAGTGTTGACCTCACAAAGTTTAACATAAGAAATTTATGTAATTTAATCAGAAGGATAGGTGTCAGATTCCCATTGTCTTGAAAACAGAAGGAAATCATTCAACGATGATCAAGACTTCGATGGCATTCACATGGTAGGTTCAGGTTGCACATGCTTTGTTGGAGCTATGGCATGAAAGCTGAAAATGCAATGAAATGAGATGTGCTAAATGATGCTACAACGTAACCGCACTGTAGCAGCAAAGTGACAACAGCATGGAGATTCACATGGGCTATAAGAAATGGCAGCAAACTTTATCATTTTAGTCAATGTTTTAGGTAGTTAATAATTATAGTTTAGGTAGAAAAATATTATTGTTTTATATGTAGCCTTCCTCTATAAAAGGAAGGAAGAAATTGATGAAAATTTAGAGAAAGAGAAAGAGAAAGAGAAAGCATGGTTTCTCCTCTCCGGTTGTGTGAATGTGTGCACCCTTTCATGTTTATGGCTTTATGTTGTATGTTATGTTGTATTGTTTCTGCTATAAATAGCATAATATCAATGGAAGAAATTGGGTTCTAACCTAAGTTGTCAATATCGTACCAGTATATATACCAGTTTTACTATGAAAACGGTATATACAAGATACTGGAATTTTTTGTGTATTATTTTGGATTTATCGTTATAAATATATATTTTTATAAATTAAATATTAAATTTGAAAATAATAAAAAGAGAAACTAATGTTTAAAACCATTGTATTCTTATAAATTGAAAACAAGTTTAAAATGATTAATTTTATAAAATGTTTATAATTTTTTCTTTTTAAAAAAAAATATTAAATGTACATATTTAAATAACCTTACTCAATTAACTAATAAAATGATTAAAAAATACATTTTTTATAGTTAATGGACTAATAAAATATATAAAAAAAATTAAAAGATGAAAATTATGCAAAACATTAAAATTGAGGACATAAAATAAAATTTACCCTTTTTAAATTTGAATTTTATTGTACATATGATTTTTCATGTATTAGTCAGTACACCAAAATACTAATCGATACTTTAAAATTTGACTTAAATTAATAAAATTTGACAAAAACAAAATTAAACTATATATCATTTCGGATCAATAAAAAACTAATAAGTACACAACTTGTTCTAACCTCACTAAAAGAGGGAACTCCGGATGTCTCTACTTCTCCTCCAAGTCCTCTCTCAAACCCATCTTTTTACCCCCAAAAATCTAACATGCTTTTCTTAATAGAAAATTTACATTATGGTTTTCCTTCCTCTAGGAGCACAGTTGAATCTGAATCATCCTGCAAGCTCTCCTGCTGGTGTCAAACCGTTTTTTGATCGGGAAAGATGGGAAGGTATTGAGTCCTCTGGATGTTGCCTCTCTCTTAACATAAGCTTAAGATCTATTATTATGGTTTTTATAAAAACTACTCTGCTGGAAAGTTTCCAGAACAGAGGAAAATTTTCTCATTGACTATTAACTTACTATAACGCAGAAGTCTAAATGCCACAAATAAATAGATAAAAAGTTATAACTAACCTGGGAAACCATCTGTCTTCACATGCAGAAGTCTTCAAATTAATCCTTCTATGAACGGAAAAGGCCAAAATACGACTACTGCCAGCAAACCGTCCAACACCATCCGTGTGCCTTGAATTATATTCAAGACCTTGACTTGTTATGATTGATATATTATCGTAGCTTAGCATCTAATTCAACTCTGTCAACCAAAACAAAAGGAAAATAATCGCCTTTTATGAGGACAAGCCATTCGCGCATTGAATATTTTAGGGATTACTGGTTAATTCAACTTCATACTGAGCGAAATTATAAGGATCCTGAAATGGGGTTGGCTAACATTGCATGGACATCACTGAGCATTAAAACCAAAGATAATGATACTTGAAGTGGATGAAACTTCAACCAGAAAATATGGCTTTCGCAAAAATTATTATACAAATGCACACATGAGTGGTAATGTGGCACAGTCATCTTGATTCCTGGTGAGGCAGGCCAAGCTGGATTGCCTTTTGTTGGGTTTTTTAAAGCAAAGAAAGAAAAAAATGGAGAGAACCGAGAGGAAGAAGAAGAGGAGCAGAGCACATAAAATGAAGAGGAGTATATCACTCCAACTCAAGAGATATCATTGATATTTTACTACATTTATAGCAGAAACAATACAATAAAAAACAATTTTTTTCTCACCTAACATTTTACCC